CACGTGATTATGCCAGCCAGAATACCAGCACAAATCTAGTAGAATTTCATTAAGTCCCATCCAGAGCTGAGAAGCTGTTGATACTTGGTGGCTTCCAGAAGAGGGAAAATACATTTTCTTCAGGGATGGGACCTCTGAGAGATTATATATTCTATAATAGTTGTACGTGTATCCATCCATGTATATGCTGGAAGCATTATGTATACTCGGTGGGTTGATGTGGGGGGAGGAGGGAAGGAAGGAGGGCAAAGACTATTCATGATACAATAGATAGACCCGCAGTTCTGCATACACTGACAGTACTAAGTAGACTAAGTGGGTTAGAGACTGAGGCAGTAGGGTTGGGGCCCAAAAACTATCTAAGGTACTACAATAAGGGGACCTGTACCCATAGGAGCACTGGCAGTAGGACCATATAGTGTGGTTACTGTTGGGATCTACCTGACCATATCCATTCTAACCCTTAGAAGGAGTTTTTGGTCAGAATGAGGACAGATTTGGAGCGGTGAGTCAGAGAAGTCCTCTGGTACTGTAGAATTAAGTGGTGTAACACATAATTATAAAGAATACACTTCTCACTCTGCTTGAAATAGTTTGTGAATAAAAGTAAAATTTTAGCAAATATAAGTATAGCACTGCTCTATTAGGCCTTCTCTGGGATTTCTCAACAAAAATAGGATATTAAATATGTCTATTGAGAATCTGATAGTGATGGAGGCTAGTGTAGCAGTTTCTTCTACCAGGGAAGTTATGCTAGGAGATGACAAGTACGTAATCCATGCTTGTGACTCTTAATGAAACTAAGACAAACTGTGGCAAGGTGCCCAGTTGGGTTCGTGCAGTTTGCTAGGATAATGTTCCTTATGTCAACAAAAACATGTAGGAGCCAGGACTTTAAGATTAATATAGAATTCTTTAAAGCAGTTGTGGTGGCTTTTCTGTACCAGTTTGTAGTGTTTCATTTTTATAATATAGTCAATGAATAATATTTATTTTTATATCATAACAATAAAGAGCACAGCATTAGAAAGTTGTGCTAATTTTAAAATTTATTTTATTATATGTGTATGAATGTTTTTGCTTGTATGTATGTATGTATGTATGTATGTATGTTTGTATGTACAGCATGTGTATGCTTGATTCCCACCGAGGTCAGAAGAGGGCATCAGATACTCTGGAACTATAGTTATAGGTGGTTGAGAGCTTCCATGTGGGTGATGGAGATGGAGCAAATACTCTTATCTACCGAGCCATCTCTCCTATCTTCAGAAAGTTCAGTTTCGATACTAATATCATTTTAGTTCAGAGTGGAGGTGGGTATGATTCTCATCCTTATTGAAGAAAGAAGAAATTACTCCAGTGAATAGCATCAAGGTTGACCAGGAGGCCCAAATCTGAAAGATGCTATGGAGTAGAGGTGGTATTTTGGTACTACTTGGAGGTAGATTTTTGAGGGAATTTCCAACAGAGTAATTTATATATTCCTACATAAATACTAAATTTTTGTACAAGCATTTCTAAAATGCAACATATTTTTTAAAAATATTCACTTAAGTTATCTGAGAAGCAATTCAAACTTTCTTATTGTATTTAACTTATGCTTTGTAAATAGCACACTTATACAACTGAAAATTGATTGCTGTGCTCTTCTTTACAGAGAAAAACATAGAACCAAGTATATTTATGGTAATGAAACTTACACAAAATAAAAGATGTTTAGTTTTTTTTTCTTTTAGCCAGCAACAAGTTAGCTTTCTTTTTAAAGAATGCAAATATATGACCTCAAACTTGTATGCTATATGACTTGAAGAAAATTGATAAGAACATATCTGTGTTTGAATCCTGGACAAAGGAGTTTTATAACTTCATGCAAATTGAAGTTTTAGTGCTTTTGTTTTGAAATTGAGAGGAAATTCTATTCCCTGTGTTGTTTTCACAGGCTGTTACTTCTCTTGCTATGACAAAATAAAGAAGGAAGCAACTTACATAGAAAAGGTTGATTTTTAGCACAGAGAGTCCTAGTGGAAGTAAGTGGTGGAATTCACAACAAGAATGCATGTGGAAGAAGTTCCTTACATTTTAAATAAGAAAAGAGCCAGGCTTGAATCAAAATGAACCCCACAAAACTTGCCTTGGCCCATTTCTGCTAGCTGGGTCTCAGATCCCAAAGACTTCTCAGTCTTCAAAGTAAAGCACCCCCAGTTGAAGACCTGCTCTTCAGACAAATGAGCCCATTGGGGCTTTATATTAAACTATTTAATGCTGTCTGATAAGGTTCCAAAATATTTAATATAGCTCCAGAGTTTTTATGCTCTCACTGGTCCAAGGACTGTTCAAGCCCAAATTGCAAAGTCTCTAAACTTTAGGTGTGACCCACTGTAAAAGAAAAAACAAGCTCTACATTTCCAGTATACAACTAAACAGAATAATCGTTCCCATTCTGAAATGGAAGAGCAATTGTAAGGAAATTCTGGATCAAAGAAAGAAACAGCAGGGTGATCACTAAACTTTAAGCTCCATGTCTGACACATGTAGGCTAGTGGTGCCATTACCTTCGCTCCAACAGGGCTTGGGTAGTTCTACCCAGTATGCCTATTACCTACAACACACATAGTCTCTCTTTTACCACTTTCAGTCAGTGCCTGTAGTTCTCTCTGTGTTCTTGACAGCTGTACCCTAGACTCCGTTGCATCTTCGGCTACAGTGAATCCAACTCTATAAAAATTTGTCTTTTCTTTCTTCTGAGGCTTTGGTGCAAGCCTCTATCTAATAATTTTTTCCATTCTGTGTGTTTGTATAATCAGCACCACATGGTTGACACCCAATTCTGCTGTCTGTATAAGATGTATTTGGGAACCTAGCAGCCATTGGTGCAGTCATCTCTTGAGAGCCTGCATGACTGAATCCAGTAAAAAAGTTCCCTAGGTGTCTGTGAGCAAGATGCCTTCACAGTAGCATTCAGTGTTCAGGCATTATGCTTTTTTTTTTTTGACATTGTCCTTTTAAATGAAAGTTTAAAAAAATATTCATTTCATATTCAGGATCCTTTAATAAGTGAAGTCTTGTTCTTAAGGTCTCTTTGCTATAGTCTCTGTTATCTGAAGTTCTCAAAGAATAAGTTTTTTTAAAGTTCTACTAAATAAGTTACTGAACTTTCAATTTCTTTCATTCATACATTCATTTACTCATTGATTCATTGAGTATTTATTTTACTTCCAGTACAAGTAGTTATGAATACAGTAGATGCATCTTTAATAGGATTGTCTTTTTTTTTACTTTTGTTTGTTTTGTTGCCTTTGCCCCTAAAATAAAATTTTTATGGGTGTAGTAATTATGGTCTACTTCATTTACCCAGAGATTATTTGTGTAAACCCACTTAGTTTGTATGTGTAAGATTCAGAAATTTTCTATAGCTCTTCCTGTCAAAAATCACTGTAAAGTATGTAATATCATTTTTTGTGATGGGTCATTTTCTGGTGAATGTTGGCTTATGACAATACTTGATAGATTATTTCAGCCTTCCCTCATAGCCTCATAGCGTGTATTATCCTTCTTTACCTGCAGTGCTGCCCAAGAGGTCTTTATGTTGAAGGAAATGTCTGAGCACATGCTGTGTAATTGCTACTAGCCACGAGGGATAGATGAGCACTTCAAATGAGGCTACCATGGTCACATTCATAGAAACTGAATCTTTGATTTCATCTAATTTTTATGTTTTATACTGATGCCTACATGCGACTATAGCTAATTTGCTTGAAATGGTATTTGTGTGACGTTATTAATTCCACCAGAAAAGGCAGCAATTGAATCACACTGTTATTAATCATTATTTTTATCCATGTCAGAACCAATTTCTAGCATTTTACTTACAGACTCTTATAATCAGAACACTGAGTCTGTTTAACAATTAAATTATGATTATCATTTTCAGAGTTCTAATATGATCTTTAATTCTTTACTGCAACATAAGGATTGCTACAAAATTCATTCTAGTGAGTGAATTGTCATTAGCCTCCACTCTCAGTTTGAACATGAAATACAATCACTCCTCTGTATGTATGTCAGGTATGCCAAGTGGACTGTGGAAGTATTGGGGGATGGGCGTTAGGAGGGCTCAGCCAGCAAGAGATGACTCTGGAGGTGTATGAGGGTAACTGGGTGTGACGTATGAGTCCTTGTGGGTGAGAGACAGAACATCTGGTGGAGTGCCTCTCAGACGCTTCAAAGATGTCATTGGTTAGCGTGAAGGCAGTTGCCAAGTGGAGCCTAACCCACAACAGTGAGTCAGAATTGTATTTGCAATTATTAAGAGAAGGTAGTTGTAAAAATTTCCAATATTTGAAAACCAACCAGTGATCGTGAGTAATATAAGTGGCAAAATCAGGAAGCAGGCTTTACATGCAACACTCTTTACAGCAAGAGTGGTGTTGGGGCTGGGGAGAATGCTCAGCAGTTAAGAGCACGAACTGCTCTTACAGAGGACCTATTTTTGATTCCCAGAACCCACATGATGATTGCCAACCACCCATAATTCCAGATACAGGTTATCTCATGTTGTCCTCTGACTTCCAAAGGCATCAAGCATACATACATGCAGGCCAAAACTCACACATCATATACCACAATGATTAAATCTGATGTGAAGAAAATGTCTAATCAGCAAGAAAAGTAATTGTAGACTCTTTTAAGTTGTTGAATACTTGATATTTTTATACTTAAAAATCAAGTTACCAGTGTTAAACATTTGTATTTAACTGACATACTCTTCTCTGAGTGGGTGAGATTGAGCAGTTTTAAGAGCATCCAGGTTTCCTGAGGGGAGGCCTGTTGCACAGGCATTTCTATAGAAGACTATTCCTACAAGTTTGCACTGCTATGCAGGATGCGTTTGTTGATTTTGTATTTCGTATCCTCTGTGACACTCAGTGTGTTTCCTAAAGAGACTAGTTCTCTCTGACTGACCTTGTATTGATGTCCTGAACATCTTTACTTCTGTTTAGGGTGAGCCCATCACCTTCTGTGAGGAGAGCTTTGTAAAGCACCGCTCAAGTGTGATGAAACAGTTCCTGGAGACTGCAGTGAATCTTCAGCTCTTTAAGCAGGTGAGAGTGAGCCTACACACATTTGCCCTGTACAGGGAACGCTTCTGTTCAATGCAAATCTGCTGCCCTAAAACTACATCCAGGTTTATAGAACATCAACAACCCGTCCTGAGAAATGTCTTCTCTGAATGAGGAGGTTGTCGTTGTATGGTAGACAGAAGAATGCCTTGTAGTGCTCCTGTGGTGGAGCGCTCTTGAAACCTTTATGCTGTTGAGATGCTAGGGAGGGTGAGAAGGGGGGTACTCCTCTTTTCCAGGGAAGAGCACACCAATGCTTGGTCCTGAGATCATATATCTGAGTAACAGTGTATGGTCTGAGCAGGCTATATTTGGAGGTGCATGTGTATGTGCGTGTGCACATACATGCTTGCAATAATAATTAATGAAAAAAGAGGCCATGAGTTTGAAAGAGAGCAAAAAGGGGCATATGGGAGGGTTTGGAGTGAGGAGAGGGAAGGAGAAATGATGTAATTATGTACTACAGAAGGCCATACATCCACAGAAATGGACCTGCATGCTGAACACACGGAGATCATTACAGTATGATACAGTTGATAATATAAATTTAAATCACAGCTACAGTGTATGTCCTGAGTTTTGTTTAGGACATCTAAATATTATTTCAGAGTAGCCAAGATTGACATCATAATTCAGATATTTTAGTTTTCAGAGACACTAGGTCTTTTTGTTTTTTGAGACAGGGTCTCACTATGTACCTTTGGCTGGCCTGGAACATCATCTGCAAACTAGGTTGTCCTTGAACTCATGGAGATCTGCCTTCCCATGCCTCCCAAATGCTGGGATTAAAGGCATGTGCCTCTTATGTTGTTTTTTTTTTTTTATGTTTATTTCCGTATGCTATGTGAGTTTATATCTATCAAGTGTTTACAGGGACCTTCGGAGACCAAGGGAGGTCAGATCGACTGTGGATGCTAGAAACTAAACCCTGTTCCTTGGCCACAGCAGAACGTGCTTCTAACTGCTGAGCTCTCTGCAGCCCTGGGCAGTGTATTTTGTTTGTTTGTACTATGTGACCACAAATCTCTTAGATCAGGTTGTCTTAGTTCCTGTTTATACAATCTTTATTTACTTATAACTACTTGATTGTCTTATTCCACATCGAAATCTTAAATATAAAACTAGCTCTGCATGCAGCATGTACTCACACTCACACTGCATTGTGAGGACTAGGAAGCTAGGATCCAAACATCAGTGCCTTTGAGAAGCACCAGACTAACAAAACTGTTAGTGCAGAAAATGCCATGCTATTGAAAATTACTTTCGAATTAGTTATGAGTTAGTTATCAAATTAGGTATGATGATGAGTTAATGCCATTCATAGGTTGATGAATTAAAAATAATTTGTGGCTAAATATACTCTGTGGTAGTATAACTAACTGTCTTATAAATAGTAAAGTTTTACCTCAAAGAGAGGCTTATATGAATTTAGAACAGAGATGTGTATTTCCTAAGATGAAGTTGTTCCTTTGAGCTCCTTGTCTCTTGTTGTCTCCAAGTTGATAGTAAGTTAATTGCCAGAGTATAATGGTGCAGCCCCAGGGTCATCTAATGTGTGCTTGACTTAAGTGTTACTACCTGCCTTGTGTGACTGTGTGTGTGTGTGTGTTTAGTCTATAAAGAAGCTATACCACATACCATTATTTAAAAATGTGGCTATTGAGATTACTCTGGGTAAAGGTACTTGCCACCACACCTGACAGCTTGAGTTCTGTTCCTATTATAACAGTGTGACAATATCCCATTAAAAAAGAATCTCTGGAGTCAAAGGAAACATTTATGTTGGTTAGATCTAAGTGTAGAGAGATTCCTTGAGCTGAAGAACTATGTGTAATAGAAACCACCCAGGATACAGTGCATAGAGACCAACAGTAGATAGGTAGGAAGTCAGGAGATAGAGTATATAAGGAAAATGTCTACATCTCATGTAATTCCAGTAGGTATGACAGAAAACAGAGCAGAGACAGTAGGTGCAAGAATCATACTTGAACTAATGAAATTCTCTGTGTAATTGCTTTGCAAAGTTCATTATATTCAAATCGAATAAGGGAGGGATTTATATCCACACATAATATCATCCATGAAACAGTAGAGAAAGAGAAGGGGAGGGTTTTTTTTATTTATTTTAGGTGCACATGATGCATTGCCCACAGATTGTGGAAGAGGATACCAGATCCCCTGGAGCTGGAATTACAGGAGATTGTAAGCCTCTCCAGAGTGGATGTTGGAAACTGGACTTGGACCCCGTGGAAGAGCAGTGGGTGCACTTAACTGCTGAACCATCTCTCCAGCCTGGGAAATTTTTTTTAATGAATAAATTGTAATGAAGTAGAACACTACATCAGGGAAATAAATGAATTATACAAAAGTAAAAATGAATGATATGAATGAAATATCACCATATTGTACATATATGTGTTGAGTACTTTTATAAGGTATCCAAATGAGCAAAAAAATTATATTTGTGATATATAATTATGCTATATGATAAAATATGATTAAAAAAAAACATAAGGTAAAACCCAAGCTGAAGTGATTGTGATCTCTTCTGTAGAGAGAGGTTGTGCTGCTTAGATTTGTTTTGTCAACCTCACACATGCTGGAGTTGTCTCGGAAGAGAGACCCTCAATTGAGAAAATGCCTCCGTAAGATTGTCTGTTCACAAGCCTGTGGGGTACTTTCTTAATTAGTGATTGGTGTGAGTGGGCCTAGCACATTATGGATAAAGCCACCTCTGTGCTGGTGGTCCTGGGTGCTATAAGAAAGCAGGCTGAGCAAGCCATGATGAACAAGCCAGTAAGCAGCACCCCTCCATGGCCTCTGCATCAGCTCCTGCCCCCAGGTGTCTTCCTAGAATTCCTGCACTACTTCCTAGATAATGGACTACAAACTGTAAGATGAAATAAAGCCTTTCTTTCCCAAGTTGCTCCTGCCCGTCGTGTTTTATCCCAGGAAAGGAATCTCTAACTAAAACAGAGGCACAGAGAGGGGCATTTAAGTCCTTTTGGCTTATTATTTAATTGTTGTGTTTTATATTTACTTTGAAAACCTTAGCTAACAAAACTAATTGTTTAGGGGTTGTGGCTTGTTGCATATTCACATAGACACATATGTATCCACACAAATAGCATGGGGGGGGGCTGCATTCTGCTAGCTAATGCTAATCGACATAGTTTTGGTAGTGAGCACACACAAAATTTACTTGACAAATTGGGAATAAATACTGAATTGTCAGAAACTGTGGTAACTATGTTGTAAAGTAGTTCTCAGAAACTTGTTTTGATTCTTAGCATGCCCCTGTGTTCAGCATCTCCTAGCCTGCAGCTAAGTGGTCTCATTAACAGAGCAGCAGTGGCTACTTTACTTTATCATCAACATTGACTGCTGAGTGTTTAGATTCAGTATTAATTTTGGTATTTTATGAAGGCATTTTTTTTGGTCATGTCTCCAGATTAGGCTCTAATGGATTAAGTTTTTATTGACGATTGAAAATCCCTCTGAGTCTGTGCTTCCACATCGTGAAGGGAGTTGAACTTCAATCCTAAGCCTCACATGCCTTTACTTCTTACATTACATGATACCATGAAATAAACACAAAGCTTAGAAAGACGACAGTGGGTTCCATTTGGATTAATTCCTGTTTAGATAATAAATTTGGATGGAATTCCAGAAAGAATTCCTCAAATCCATGGTTTTGACATCACCGTACTTGTCTGCATTGCAGCTTTATGAAGAGTTAAGCCATATTTTAAGTCTCTTGCCTTTATTTAATACTATACTAATCTAATAAGGAAAGGGTGTGTGTGTGTGTGTGTGTGTGTGTGTGTGTGTGTGTGTGTGTGTTTTACTACTAAATCTACTGGTCAAAAAAGTTCCTTTGTTTATGTACTTCCCAAGGTTAGAATCATGGCTTAGTTTAGCATGTTAATCTTAAAATCTACGTCTATTCTGTGACTATAAGACCTCTCTGTGACCTTAGGCCCTCTTAACTGGCAGTGTAGATTACTGTTAGGAAATCTAATTAATAGTAAAGGGTCTCTAATTTAGATAGACAGTCCACCCTCCACTCCACCACACTCCCGAAAAAGAAAAAAACAATTCGGCTTATGCAATTGCTAACTCACTTGAGGAAGAACACGGTAGGGAAGATTTCAGTTAAAAAATTGTCTTTTATTAATCATCTAGAATGTTTCTTATCTTTCATAACATAATGTAAATATGTATTTCCTCAATGGTTTTATATAACAAGTACCTGTTCACGTACAAACGTACAAGGAGAGTACATTTTTTTATCAATTCCGTTTGTTCTTAGATAGTTTCACATACGAATACTGGCCTCTCCCAGCCCACCCCTCTTTTCATCTTCCGGTCACCAAGGCCCACCACTTCTCTCCACAAACCTGTCTCTG